CACGGTCGTTGCGCAGGCTTTTTATCAGCCTGCGTCTAAGCTGACTTCTCATCATATTCAGTGCCTAAAGTTAGTGTTTCCTAGAAATAGGCGGTTATCTGAGCATACTTGCAACAGACGGTCGTCATTGTCTGTTCTCTTAGCCGCGACACCATAAAATCCATCTAGGTGTCTTTCATTTTCACCTACTTGAGCATTTCAGTCACCAGCCATTATTACTACATCAGAGCGCCTAACATTTTAGAGGAGGTCCGAGAGCTTTCTGTAAAACTCATCTTTCACCTCGTCTGAACTGCAGTCAGTGGGGGCATAGGCAGATACGACGAAGAGGCAACGGCGAGTGTCCCTATCTTTCCGAGTCCTTACTGTCCCGTTCAGCCGGACAGCGCACAATCGACTATCTACAGGAATCCAGTCTAGGAGCGCTAGTTCTGCCCTACGACTCAATGCTATACCTACACCAGCTGCTACCTTAACGTGGTAGTCGGGCTTGATTTTTGTGATGACACAACCGAGCTATATTGGCTGCAAGTTATGTTCATGAAGGTTCTACCATGCCAGACAGGTCGATTGGAGAACGATGAGACTAAAAGCAGCTACTCAAGGTCTGAGGGCGAAGTCGTACTTCTGACTGCAGAGGGGTGTGACATCAGTAAGGTGTTTCCATCGGACAACCAGCATCTGCAGCGATGCTGCCTTCTCAGAAGTAAGGAAGGGTTAGAAAAAGTCGACCCTAAAAATGTCACACCTCACCCTACCTCACGCATTTCCGTTTCCGGCGGTAAGGTTGCCCATTAAGGGCTTTCAAGAGCGGAGCTAATGCTTAAGAAACCCTTCATAAAAAAGTCTGTGCGTGACCGGCCTCAAGCAGTTGTCCCTTGGGCTCTGCGGTCATGCACCCAGGTCTCTAAGACCAACACTAATCTACCTTCCTTTTCAGGTCCCTCAAGAAACAACCTTCCACGTTGTGGGCAGCCGGGAAGTGAAAACCGCCATCATACCGGTAACAGCACACGAGACCGAATCGGTCACAATCAAATCCTTCTTACACCCCCTCATGTCTCTCTTATCTCCACGAAACTAGATGTGATTACCGTCGTAATTAGTGAAACGGCCCTGTATGTCAGGCATGTTGATGACACGTTTACATCCTGCCAATATACTCAACTTCCTCAATGATACGCAGCAAAATAGGTTTTACAAAGAGCATGAGCATAGCGATAATTATCATTTTCTATACTTTGTTACCCAATGTAATGAAAATGATCGATTTCAAAGATTCATTCACTGAAACGGCAAACAGAGTGGAGCTTACGGTTAGAACCCTAATTAATCGAGTGCAAAAACCATATTCTGAGGACAAGATTGAAGCGAAATCAATCAATCTTGCCGGACATCTGAAAAATAATAATAATCCATAAAAGAGGTCCATAAAAGTAGATATAGGAGGACAAGAACAAAAATTGTGGTGTGCTACATTACAGAAAAGACTTGACTTCATACAACTCAGCTTAAAATGTGACGAAAAAGAAAATTGGTATTCGCATCTTCGGGTATATTCATCAGAAGTTGAGAATCAGAGATTATTATGTCTTCATCTTCTCCCGTCATTTACTTGATATAGAACACGACGTTGAAATTTTCTAAATCAAATCTTCAATTATATTACAGTTGGTCGTATACCTTACTATCAAAAGGCTTAAACCATATTCGTAAATGCAAAGGTATACTGTTATCGTGTGGACTAGCTGCAGGTCACTATTTGCTCACATGCTAGCAAATTAATCGCTGAAACCGTACAAAGTACGACCCTGGCGTTTCAGAGCATAAACAACATCCGTAGCTGTCACTGTCTCCCTCTTAGCATGTACCGCGTAGGTGACCGCCTCACAGATCACATTCTCCAGAAACACCTCAAAACACGACAAACATCCTCGTAGATCAATCCAGAAACGTGCTTCACGCCACCACGGCGAATGGTAGGCTTTGTGATGCCCTAGATATTGTCACTTAGAACCTTGCGATATCTCTTAGCTCAACCTTTTCACCGACCTGACATGATACACAGTTACGCTCAAACTGACTTGCAAACCAACATTGATTATCCCAATCTATAAGAAGGAACAAAAGTCCTCTTGTGACAATGACAGAGGGATTAGTTTGACTAACATAGCGTCTAAATTGTTAGCTTCGATAATACTTAGACGCTTAACTAGAGCTTGTGAAGAGCAGACTCGAGAAAATCAGGTTGGTTTCAGACCTGGCTGTATAGACCACATCTTCACACTACGACAGGTCCTGGAACACAGACAATAGTTGTATTCTTGCGCCTTAAAGCGGCATTCGACTCAGTGCATCGTGAGGTTTTGTGTCAGTGTGTCACTGAAAGTAGTAGCAGAAAAGTACATTCACCTTATACAAGCTCTCTACTCGAACACTACTGGTCGAGTGAGGGCATTTGGAGAACTGTTTTCGGAATTGATTACCTCGAGTGGTGTTCGTCAGGGCTGTCTACTTTCTCCATTTTTATTCAACTCTGTCATTAACATCCCGTTAGATCCGACACTTTGATCATCTGGCTATTCAGGAGTTGACCCAATACCGGGAGACTCTCTCGTTGACTTGGAATATGCCGACGACGGTGAGAAAATGCAGAGTCTTCTGACCACTCCAAACAATAATGCAAGCCAGTTTGGGACGCGGTTCTTCACTTCGAAATGCAAAATGTTGCCTCAGGATGGGCTTGCGTCGGAACCTTGAACTAGTGATAGACTGTGAAGTCGTTGGGCGTGTAGACCGCATCACTTATCTCGAGAGCCTTACCAGCGCTGATGGCTGGTGTGTGATGAAATCTCAGCACGGATACAGAACACTCGAATGGTTTACGCCAACTTGCATCACTTGTGGCATAGTATAGGAAAGATATCTGTCTATTAACCAAACGACGAGTAAACTGCGAAGCAGTGCTCCGTCCTACTATAAGCCTGTGAAACATGGGCATTAAGAGTGACCGATATTCGCAGGCTACTGGCATTCGATCATAGGTGTCTTTGAAGCATTGCTCGTAGATGCTTGGAAAACCAACCGAGTAAGCAGTGCAGTTGTTAGGAAAAGAGTACTATTTACGGATTGAAAATCGATTGATGAAGTAGTGAGTCTTCACAGGTTGATTGGTGGAACATGTGTTATGTATGCCCAATCACTGACTGCCCCTACGATGGATATTTTGTTGTGTAGGAGCAGCCTGAAAGTAAACTAGTGGCATCCAGACCAAATCATGGCACAAATCCATGAAGTCACTGACAAGTGGACTGTTCCGTGTTGGTAGATGTAGACTACCTGGTTTGGTGTCCGTGAGACATTATTAACCTATGGTTAGATATCTTGAATGATGTTCTTCAGAGTCGTTTGCAATAGTGTCGGTGCATCCATTCTTCGACTCCTCAAATCCGAATATTCTGAATTCCTCATCACCCTTATCTTTTTCTTCTTGATTCTATTTCATTGGATTATACTTCTGGAATAACATCTTCAAACCCTAGTTTTGCTGATTACTGCTCATATTTCTACTACATCTACCACTATGGGATTCGGATCGACAATTTCATCTGTGCTATCGACTTGGTCTTATTTACGTACGTACGAAGTTCCTCGTTGTTGATGACCGAAAGGATACTGTTGTCACTTATGCTTTGCTCTAGTGACCTCTGTTTCTAACATATAGTTTCGTAACTGTCTTTTTTTGTATACCATGAAATACTACTTTCCTTCATAATTTCCTTAGTTTTTTCTGAGTTTCACTAATTTAAATTTAATCATCAAGTCTTCTTGTTGTTACTACGTTACTCTTAGTAGAAACACTTAAAAAGTGTCGGATTGATAGAACTTAGACATATACACCTTGGGATACCGGCTCACTGGTCTAGATGTTAAGTATTTACGTGAGACGCCGAAGGTCTTGAGATGTATTCCTGATTGTGAGATGGTGGATGCACATTGCTTAGAAATTCCATACTAGTACGAAATAGCCCTCCTTGTGCTTCCTGGTTTTCAGTGGTCGTCTAACTTTAATCGGTTCGTTATCTAAATAATTTCTCTAGGGTTTTCGCACCAGTTACCATAAATATTCAGGCATTTGAACATATAGATTATTGATTTATTAATCTTCATTAATGAGGGCATTTCTAATATTGTGACATAAAGTATGTACAACAACCTTTAGTGATTTGAACTATTTTTAGGTTGTAATCATCTGACGAGAGACAGAAAGATAAAATTGATTCACCCAGTTGTGCTATGTTTGTTCTCTTCAATCTATTCAAATCTATGAGTTGCAAAAGTTGGACTGTTACTCAGATTCATTCATTTTTAGTGAGAGTTTCTTCCTTACCATTTCAGAAGTTTTTATATCCGAGAAAAGCTATGTTATTTCATGTTCAGAATTCTACCATGTATAACATAACGATGAATAAATATTATAAACTCATCGTTAATTATTGAGAAATGATTATCCATGGCTAATGAATTACTGAATTATATAAAAGTTATAATAAAACACATTGAAAGATATTCGTTATTCGGAAAACTTTTTTCATTGCAATTTCAGTCAATATAGGAGTAGCGTCCTAGTTCTTAGAATCATAAAATGTTTATCGGTCAATTAGTTATTGTTACTACATCAATACGCTATTATCAATTATACCTATCCGATTATAATCGAACCAAGACATTGTGGTTAGATTGTAGATGATTGCTTGTTTCTCATTCACTTGATAATTAAATGCAAGACAGACAAAGCTAGCATATGCTTTTTAGCCTTTCGTTAAAACTCGCTGGATCTGTAACGTCAAAAAGATGGTTTGAAGCAATTAATTGAATCTTATAAATTAAGTCTCATCGTCATATTGGTAGTATTAGTGTTGATTTCTCTTCAGTATTTAATTTCGTTATTTGTTGTTTGGAAATTCTATATATTTTCTCATGTATTTGTAATTGTAAAGGTCCTTGAAGAATTAACTGTTGTCTTAAACAGAGCAACATGTGACGCTAGTCGTTTAGTTATGATTTCCGGGAGTGGAACCGTGTTTAGCTCCGGAATAGATTTAACTTCCATTACAGGCGATCTTCTAAGAAGTGCATTTATTTGTCCATCTTCATGTGATTCATCTCGCAGTTCATCCTCAAATTCAGCCAATGCTTTTGCTCCGCGTAATTCAAATCATCATCATCATCATACAAATTGTTCATTTTCTCAATCTCATTGTGAATCAAATTTAAATTCATCATCTCATAGGAACACAAATCGTATTCATTCATTTTTCTGTTCACCAAATCCTTCTAATATTGGACGTCTAGTTGCGGCTTTAAAGTCCTTTTTGTTGGCGTTAGTTTCATTTCCTAAACCTGTTGTAGTTGGTGTAAATGGTCCAGCATTAGGACTAGCTGTTGCAATATTACCTTTGTGTGACATTGTTTACATAAGTGATTCAGCTACATTTTATATGCCGTATACTCGACTTGGTCAAATTCCTGAAGGTGCATCCACTTACACTTTACCCAGTCTTGTTGGTATGCCTTTGGTAAGTTGTTTGGAATATTTATTGTAATCTGTATCAGATTTTGATTACCTTATATAAGGTGTTTGAGATAAATCTATTGATGTATAATGAAAGAAATATGATAAAAGCACCACGAATTTACTAGTTGCATGAAACATTATCTAAATCGTTGTATATCAGAATAGAGAGTGTACATAGAATGTTAAGTTTAACTTTAATTCTTATAATGGACTGACATCAACTGGAGAACCGCAGACATTAAATAGTTGTTCTATTGCAGTTCGAAATCTGCTTATTAAAATTTTCGACTGCCGACTAAATTCACGTGATACGAGCACCATTCAAAATGCGTCTCTGCGTTAATAACCTCGAGTCAATGGCTACGTTCCTATTGATTCACGATTATATGGCTTCGCTCTGCCCTATAGTTGAGTTCAGAAATCAGAACGAGCTTCTAATATATTTGCATTTTAAACAGACGCAGTTTATATGCAGATAGACGGGGCCTCAATATGTCATAGTATAAAAATAACGATTTTATGTAATCATTCCATTAGATGACTATATATAGGAAAGACTGTAAAAATAGGTTTGGAATAAATCAAGATTGGTAAATCGTATAACAGCAATTAATGGGTAAGATGAAATCTTACTCAAAGTCTGAGGTCGAAGCCGTACTTCTCTGACTATAGAGGAATGTGACAAAAGTAAGGTGTTTTCCTCGGACAACCAGCATCTACAGCGATACTGCATCCTCAAAAGGAAGGAAGGGATTGGAAAAAGTCGACCCTAAAAATGTCACCTCACCTTACCTCACGCATTTTCGTCTAAGGCGGGAAGTCCTTTTAAACAAGAGCGGAGCTATAATACTTTAAAAACACATAAAAAGGCCGTGTGTGACCGGCCTCAAGCAGTTGTCCTTTGGACTCTGCGGTTACTCTCTCTGCTTCCTCAGACCAACGCTGATCCGATTTCGCTTTTAGGTTCCTCAAGAAACACCCTTCCACAATGTGGGCAGCCGGGAAGTGAAATCCGCCCTCGTACCTGGGAAAGCACACGAGACCAAATTTGTCACAATGGAATCCTTGCTACACCTCTTAAGAACCCTTTTATCTCTATGACCGAACATTCTCACGTTCCTTTATCACCTCGCGTTGCTGATACAAACGATTCGAGTACACGAAACGCCTGATGTGGTTGTTTCGTGCGATACGTATGGCCTACTCCGACTACCTCGATGAGCTATTTTTTGTTGTGTACAAAATGAGTTATATTAAATTTAGGCGCATAGTAGTTAAACGCTATGCAATATTGATACATAAGGATGTTAAATCTTTACCTAATGATGTGAATTGGAAAATTTTACATGTATTCCTGGAAGCGGATTCTTTTTTAGGACCGCTTCTCCGAGACTCTCTAGAAGTCGAATTCTTCATCTATTCACTCACCATATTAATAGAATCGTGCCAATTTGTCAAGAAATTCAGTTGTTATATTTAGCATTTATTTTGCTTTGATACCTCTGATTGTTTTTATTTTGTGTTCCGGTTCGCTTTCTGAAGTTGTTTTTATTTGCAAACATTGAAACTTTAAATATTTCATTCATGTTGAATGTTTCTCTTCATAAAATTTATTGTACAGGCTAACGAACTTTTATTAGCCGGTCGTAAATTGTCCGCTCGCGAAGCTTTACAACGAGGTTTAGCCTCTGATCTCTTGTTTCCTAAAAGTTTTAAACAAGAATTACTTCTCCGTTGTCGAAAATTAGCAGAAAATTCGTGTATGGTATGTATTTTTTATTTGTTATTATGCACACATTTATCTGTTCCTTGATTTCTGGTATTTGAATATTCACTACTTTAAAGATAAGTTATCAATTTATATTTCCTGCTTGTATTTACCTCCACCCGACTTAGTGAGGTTTGTTTATATGTTCAACATTCGTCCTTATATATTTTCGCTTGGGATCTTCGTAAGCTCATATTGTGTTTTCTGTTGTTCAACGAATAGACAATTCAAATTTAAAAGCTTGCTGGTTTCTCGTATACATAATGAGTAAGAATTGTAAGCAGACAGGCACTTACTAAAATATCAAGCGTTATTCGTACATTAATTTTTAAGTAGGAAGTTGAATGATTCTCGTTTAGATGTTTCTTTTTCAGAAAATACCACACTTAGTTTAACGTTTTCATAGTTACATGTCACACTTCACGCCACTTCGATGTATGTTTACTATTTGTTATTCAAAAAGGACGACGGAAAATCTGAGAAGTAATAATCAAACGATATAGAATTCTCAATTTGCAAACTCCACGTTTGTAATTAGTTATATAATCTTACCGAATACTAATCATTACAAATGTAAATTACACTTTCTTGATGTATCATCGAAATGACTTACGTTGTTTACAGTCTATTTGATCTTACACCAAATTATCAGCTGTTATAACATACTAATCAGTGTATTTGTTCTAGGCTGTTTTCGCTATCAGTTTTTCATTTATCCCAATGGAATGATGAGATCATTATCGGCTTTTTATATTTATGTATTAGTAGTCGTACGTGCTTTCAACTTTTGAATTCCAAATTAAATATAGTAGTGAGGCTATGAATGCTTCTGTATAGCTACACATGTATGGCTTTTTCCAGGAATTTTGTAATCAACATCCCTACGAAAGTCAAGAAAGTGATAATCATTCCGAAAACGCTTTATTTAATTTTGGGACCGACTACAGTTTCACAATCCTCACACTTATTCTAAAACGAAGAATGTAAACAACCTCTGAAAAAATAAGAAAAACTCATATTTATATTCACAATAAGCTTTTATCATACTACTTTATGACGTCTTATTTCAACGTAGTTTACATTTACTTTTAATTCCTATCTCAGGAAATTCTTTCGGTGCGTTCTAATCTGTTTGAATAGTAATTGTAATTGTTTAAAGAAAATCCTTTCATTACAATGCTATCCATCTAGTTTGAATTCTCACTTGACATTTAAACTTCCCGCCTGAATTTTTTGCACACTGATACAAACTACACGACAGTAAGGTTTAGTTAAGAATGTCTATTGGTATTTTCTGTTCTCCAGATATCCATGTTTAAGATAAGATTCCAGTAAGCGCATTGTGAATACGTTATCCAACTGTTAATTTGAAAAGTACGTCATATATGAATTTTATTTCTGACTACGATATCAGATTCGATCTTTTCTAGCGTTCATATAGCACTTAGCATCATCGTCAAAAATACTGGTTGATTGGCTAAATTTCAATAATCATCTATGCACCGTTTAATCAGGTACATGAAAAACTATGTATTCTCTATATTGTATCCGTGTACGTTATTCTGTATTGTAATCCAAGCAAAATCAACAACGAGTTCAATAACCAACTAAAATACGATTCTTAATGCATGTTCAGAAGTTATTATGGTGCTAGCTGGGAACGTGTTGATCAAAACTTACTTTACGGCGACCGTTTTCTCCAGGCTTTCGTAGATCGCGATTGATTTCTGACCAGAATTAACTTTCAGAACAGCTATTATGGATGCAATATATGGAGTCAATCTGTTATTGGTGTTTGAGCTTGATGAAAAATCAGGAAAAAACAGTTTTTTATTACATAGCAAAATGAAAAGTGATTTTGTTTTAGATTTCTTGGTAACTTAGTTATGTTTTTGGTTTGATATGTATCCTTCACACAATTTTTCCTGTTTGTATATTTGAACAAAGAAAGGACAACTCACGTAGTTATCATATTTAAGTGTTTCAATCCTAGTAGATATTATGTACTTCTTTTTTCTGATTTCTTCTGGAAACTATTTATTAACTTTAGTATGGCGCTTTACTTGATGCCTCACATTATCAAGATTTCTTGTGCTATAAACAAAAGATGTACAAATTCATCATTTAGTAATGTTTAGAAGTTTACCGACACTTAATTGACGCTATCGTGTTACACTTTCACATGATTGAGGATTCAATCAGTTGGGAACATTTCACAAACAGATTTTTATAAGACAATTTGGATTGTTAAAAGCACTGCATAAAACACAAGAATGATATAGCCGGCTTATGATTGCCTATGAAATTGGATCAACCTTTTCGTTTCTGTCTCATGAAATTATATCAAAAGGCACTAGCAAAACAACTACACTAATATGAGAGATATAAAGTAGAAAATCTAAATGTGATTAGATTTCATGTAAAACATAGACATGCGGAGGAGGACATGATCTTTGTCCATAACTCATGTCCCAAAAATGACTCATGTTTAATTGGAAGATCTACTGTTCACCTTAATCGTTCTTAATGTGAACTTGATTGTAATTTCTTTACATAAAATTAAATTGGTCATTTTTCTCTCTTTCTCAAATTTCAGTCATTGGAAATAACCAAATGTATGTTGAAAATGCAACATCGTGAACGAATTGAATATGTGATTAATGCTGAATGTAAAAAACTATTAGAGTGTTGGCAAACTACAGAATTTCGTTGTACAGCTATGGAGTTCATTTTAAATGAAATGGACGATTTTGTATAAACATACTCTCCCTCTCTCTCTCTCTCACACACACACACACTCTCTCTGCCTCTTGTTTTGTTTCCCCATGTTAAATTATCCCATATATATATATATATATATATATATATATATATATATATATATATATATATATATATATAATATATACATCACGACAAGTTGTAATTGCTACTCATAGAATTATTGTAGTCGTCATAAACTATTATTCTATGTTAATATAACATTTTACACAATGAAATTTATACAATCACACACACACACACACAACTGGTATTATTCGCCTGTATGACATTCCATACTCTTGCGTTTCTATATCATCATCAATATAACATGTATCAATTTCATGCAACCATTATTATGAAACTAGATCTACTAATGTATATTTTTGTCTGGTCTTTCACATTTACTAACTTTAAACTGCTTTGTTTTCAATAAAAAGAACAAGTGTAGTTTACTTTCTAACATAGACAAGCTTGTTTAATCATATTTCCTGTCTAGCCGACCATTCTGTCCATTTCATATCATTAATGATTTTGCTGTTTGTAAAATTTATATTTCCCTTGGTGTATGTGAGTGTACGTGTACAGATTTGTGCATTATATATATATATATATATATATATATATAACTGCTGCTTCTATTTTATTAGTCAACTTTTCACAATCTTTACACTATTTGACAATCAATCCACTAGTTGCTGTCGAAAACAAAGAAACCTGGCCAGGTTCTTTTTTTCCCATGTATATGCAGAATTTTGTTAAGTGGCATGTGAAGTGAACGATAAATCATTGTTATTTACTCCCATCATTCTTCTTTTTTTTTTGATAAAAAAGACTTTTTTTGAAAAAAAAAAGGAGAGACCAATTCATCCAGCTTGCCTTGACCATCCATTCTATTTCCGGATTTCGTGTTTTTTTTGAAAAGAAAAATTCATAGAATCGGTTGGTTGGTTGGTTGGATGGATAAAACCAATTTCCGGGCATTTCATCTATCATCATCGTCGTTATTATTATTATTATTAATCTTATTAAAGAAATTTCCTGTAAAATAAATAAATTTTTACCGTACATGTTGTTCTTCTCTTTCAATTTATCATGATTAATTTATTCAACATATTAGTGCAATGAATGCATCCTTTAAGTGTTATGATTATTATCTATCGAAAGCACTTTTTCAATTCTAGGAATACTTCTTTAGAATTGTAATTAGTGTTTGTTGATTTCGATGCAAATAGAGGGGGAGTTTTATTTTTACTCTAGCTGTTCATAGCATTTTCACCAATTATCTTCCTTAAATTTTTATGATATTGTGTTAAATAGACGGATGATTTCTTACTTACACCTCCTACCTCTATCGGAGCATAAGTCACTAACCAGGAATCTCCAAGTGATTCTATCCAAAACTTTCCATCTGAATTGATGTCAAGTGACCAGTGTTGTCTGAAACCATCTTTCATCTGAAATGCATTCTAATCGTAGAAGGTCTGTACGATGGTCATGATGTTTTCAGGTTCTTTGCAACGTGAAGAAAGGTCCAGAAACCTAATTCTGTAGAAGCTATTGAGTCTTTTCTCACAATAAAGGAAGTTTTTATATAGTAATAGGTTCCACTTAACTAGTCATTCAGCAATGATCCTCTGTGCCTCGATTTAGTCGGTACTTGGAATATGCTGATAACATCCAGTTTATTGATATGAGAATTGTACATCCACTGAGTCTCTCACCTGGTCTAGTAACACTATTCTGTAAAATTTTTTTCACCGACACGAATATGTTTCTGTAGTTTTTGCATTTACGAACGTATTTGTTTTCCGATTTTTTGAAGGAATATCTCACTTCCCTGGCCATTTCTCCTTCCTAACCTCTTAGTTATATCAAATGGCTTATTCATATTTTCTTACCTTTCGGCTTGTTCTTTTACAGTTGCTAGACCTACAAATTTTCACTTTTTATCGCTAGTGCTTTTCTTCCGTATATATGGCGTCCTATGCTCCCGCTAGGCCGCTGTTTTCTTCTTGTTTTACCTTTCTCGAATTTTCTCCAAGATGTCTTCGGAGACCTATTGTTTATCTTCAAAATTCAATTAACGACCAGGAGAAAGGTTGAGAGTGAGCGACCTTGTCTGACACCAGTCTTCCCCTCGAACGTGTCAGTCAGCTGTCTTCCGTGCACGATATTGCAGTTTAATCCATCATTTCGTATCACGTTGACTATCCTCAGGCACGCCGTAGTATCTAAGAAGCCTCCACAGTGTTTTCCTGTCCAAGCTATCGAATGCTTTCTCGTAGTCAATGAAGTTGATGTAGAGTGGTGAGTTCCATTCACTTGATTATTCCACAATGATCCGTAGTCTGTTGCAATTTGGTCGGTACACGATCGATCCAGATGAAATGCAGCCTGTTGTTCTCGAAGTTGGGCGTCTACGAAGTCCTTCATTCTATTTAGAGACACCCTGTTGAAGACTTTGCCTGGTATTGACAGACGAGTGATGCCTCTGTAGTTCTCACACTCGCTGAGATCACGTTTCTTTGTTATTTTGATCAGGTATCATTCTTTCCAGTCTGTTGGTACTTGTTCCTCATCCCAAATCTTGTTGAAGAGAATGTGAAGTGTTTTTGCAGTTGCTTACACGTCTGCTTTCATTGACTCTGCTGGAATGTTGTCTGGTCCTGCTGCTTTGCCACTCTAGATTTGTCTGATGGCCATGCTAATCTCTTCAATTGTAGGTGCACCAACATCGATTGAGAGGTCCATAGATGCTGTTTCGATGTTGGGTGCGTTCAGAGTTCCCTAAAGTGTTCTACTCACCTGTTTCGCTGTTCGTCAGTGTTGCTGATTACTTTGCCTTCCTTGCTTTTCACTGGTCGTTCTGGTTTACGATAGTTCCCGGCGAGCTTCTTTGTTGTATCGTAAAATTGTCTCAAATTTCCTTCACTTGCAACCTTTTCCGCCGTCATTGCTAGATCTTTCACGTATTTATGTCGGCTCTGATGCTACTCTTCACTTGCTTGTTTGCCTCTGAGTATTCAGCATGTGCCTTGACTTTCTCTGCTCCTGTTCGGCCGATGTTGATTTTTGCCTTCTTGTTCCTCCTTTCCTGAAATTTTACAAGAGTACCAACTGAGATCGATTAATTGTGATGGTACTTCTTGTGACCCAGAACCCCTGACATGTTGAAGTGATTGCCTTCTTATCTCTTTCCAGTTGTTCTCCATGGTAGTTTTCTTTCCATTGTGTAAATCATTAAAGACCTGGAACCTATTGCTGAAGGCTGTCTTAGATTCCTTGAGCTTTCCAGTATCCTGAAGAAACGCTGTATTAAAATCTTGTGATGTTGTCCGCCCCGTTGTTCAGTACCTCTTGAGTTTCAATTTCATCTTGGCGACCAGCAAGTGGCGATCTCATGCTATTGCAGCTCCTTTCTTAGTTCTCACATCTTCTTTAGTCCTTCTGAATCTTTTATTGATGCATATATGGTCGATTCGGTTCTGCATGGTATGATCCGGTGAAATCCATGTGGCTTTGTGTATGCGTTTGTGTGGGAATATTGTGCCGCCGATGACCAGTTTGTTGAATGCACATAAGTTTGCAAATCTCTCACCATTTTCGTTCCTTTCTCCAACTCCATGTCATCTCATAATATCTTCATATCCACTGATGTCCATGCCAACCTCATTATTTAGGTCTCCCATTAGAATCTTCAAATCCCTCGGTGAGCATCTGTCGACGATTGACTGCAGCGTTTCTTAGAATTGATCTTTATCATGGTCGTTGTAGTCGTTGGTAGGTGCATAGCATTGAATGACGTTCATTGTAACGTCCTCTTTGTTTGTTATGAATGATGATTTGATGACCCTGAGTCCATGAGATTACAATCCTATCAGTGCCTTTTGTGATATTTGGACAGCATCAGTGCAACTCCTTGTGTGTGTGAGGCATTTTCTCCTTCATGTCCTAAGTGTAGCAGCAGCTCACCTGCAGTTAATCTTAGTTGTCTAATCTGCGTCTGATGCATTTCACTGATTCCAAGCACCTCCATGTTGTATCGCTTTATTTCTGCATGAAGCTGGAACAGTCTTCCTGTCTACCACATAGTTCGAACATTCCATGTACCTAAAAGAATGGTTGCTCTGATTGTTAGCATGAGCATCGACGTCGTAATTTTCGAATGAACTTGGCTTCCATCATGATACGTCATAACTCTTCTGAATGAAGACCTTCTAACTGCTAGAACAGAGTTGAAATGGTTTGAATTAACTTTTCTAGCTGGTGTTTTATTAGCGAGTTAGCTTTTTGTAGGATGGATTCGCCAACCCTCCTTTAGCCAGGCTTAGGTCCGGCAGTAGCCTCAGAGGGACTCTAAGTAGAGTTCACCATCAACTAGTTATATCCAATATGCGATTACCTTTATTCATATTTATTTATGGAATTGTGTAATGTCGACCTGATATATTTGTCCTATATCATATAATTGTATGCACTTCTATGTTTCAGTAAATGATCAGTTGTTAATGGCTAACAGATTTAAAGAGAGTTGTCTAAAACTAGGTAAACCCCAACCGTAGTTGCTATCTTGACGTGGTGGTAGGGCTTGACTATCGTGATGACACAACCGAGCTATATTGTCTGGCACATATGTTCCTGAAGATTCTACCATGCCAGTCAGGTCGATTGGAGAACGATGAGAATAAAAGCAACTACTCAACGTTTGAGGCGAAGTCGTACTGCTACAACCAGAACCTACAGCGATTCTGCCTTCTCACAAGGAAGGAAGGGTTAGAAAAGGTCGACCCTAAAATGTCACACCTCACACTACCTCACGGATTTCCGTCTCCGGCGGTAAGGGCTACTTAATAAGGGCTTTACAAAGAGCGGAGCTAATACTCAAAAATCCTTTCATAAAAAGGCCGTGCGTGACCGACCTCAAGCTGTTGTCCCTTGAGCTCTGCATTCACACTCCCAGGTCTCTAAGACCAACACTAATCTTTCTTTTCAGGTTCCTCAAGAAACACCCTTCCACGGTGTGGGCAACCGGGAAGTGACAACCGCCCTCATACCCGTAACAGCACACGAGACCAAATTGGTCAAAATCAAATCCTTCCTACACCCCCTAATACCTCTCTTCTCTCCACGACTAACTCTTCCCACATCCCTTTATCACACTGCGCCGTTGATGCGAGTTCATGTAACGTTATTCCTGGTCTCTTGAAACCTCGTTCTAAATTACATGTTGGAGCTTTTAATGTACGGACATTGTATCAAATAGGGCAACAGGCTTCCTTAGCTAAGACCTTAGAATCTCGCACCTTAGATGTATGCTGCGTCTCGGAAACGCGCATACAGAATCCTAGTAAAATCATAAATTTGGTTTCACCTTATCAAAACAAAGAAGCAGCTCGATTTACTCTTTGTGTATCCGTAAGTCCTGATGCTGCTTCCCGTGGTTAGGAAGAAGCGGTGAATCTCACTAGCATTTACCAAGCTGATGGATGGTTGAAAACTCCTCCCGTCTGGCTCTGAGTACGATGAGGAGCGGAGTCAGCTTAGCAGCAAGCTGATAAAATGCCTATGCAATGATCGCGAACAGTGGTGGGTAGCGAAAGCAAGAGAGATGGAAAAGACAGCAGCGATAGGCGATAGTAGACAACTGTTCCGACTTATCAAGGAAACCAGTATAAAGAATCCGAGTATGAGTGAAACTTTTTCGGAAAAGGATTGGACTATTATCCATTCTCAATACTGGAGATTAAATCGATGGACAGAGCACTTTAGGGATCGGTTCAACTGGCCTCGAGCCACACTTCGGTTGCCCACGATCCCCAGTCATCCTGAATGGCAAATCGACGTAAGCCCTTCGAATCTTAATGAAGTTGAGGAAGCGATAGGAAATCTGAAGCGAGGGAGAGCAGCAGGACCTGATAGATTGACCTTCGAGATCTTTAAGGATGGTGGTCCAGTTTAAACAGTTAGATTGACTGAAATCTTAGGTAGAGTCTGGGAATTGGGCGTAATACCTTCTGACTGGTCCCA